CTTGCTTGACGGCCATGAGCTCTCCAGTAATCGCGTGTAGTGCGAGGAACACGCTGCCAAAAGAGCCCTCTCCAATCAAAGAACCTTTCATCCAGTTCTTCGGGGCGAAGTTGTTTCCTGCCAAGAAGTCGTTGAGGCCATCATCCTCCTCTTCTCCATCTTCGGCCACGAGGATACTCAATCGTTCATTAAGCGAGCCGCCGTCAGTTGCAGCAACACTTGCGTTCTCATCGAGAAGACTCTGACGAGATGTTGTAGGATCATCAGAACCACTGTCGAACGAAACATATGATTTGCGGTTCGGCTCGATGGGCGACTCTTCCTGTAGTGGTTGTAAGGAGCTGGAGGCGATGGAATCTCTGTAAGACGTTGACGGGAGACTGAATTTGGACACGGAGAGAGGTCTCGATGCACGGGTCGGTGTTCCACCGGCGTTGAGCCAGGTATCTGCTATGCTTGGCATTGGCGGCGCGTCCCTCAGACTAGACGCATAGCTAGTATTGCTGACGACACTCAGGCGACTTGCTGCACGGCTCAAGCGCTGCGACCTCCGGACAGACATACGCATTGTCTTCTCAATATCCTCCCGGTGATGACTTGGGAAGTACGATGTGATCTCGTGGATAATCATCTCACTTGGAGGTCGAGCACCAAAGAATGATCGCAACTTGGCAGCAGAAGGAGAAGGGCGTTCCATGTTGACGGACCGCACTTCATGCTCACTCGGTGTTAAATTCTGTCGAGACGAGACCGGAGACATCGGCTGTCTGATATTAAGCCAAGACTCGCCGGTTAACTGCTGGATCTTGAGTTGGTTGCGCACATTAGAACTGCTCAAGGCGTTCATGTGAGCAACCTGACTTTCATCTACCGCTAACTGAGAAGCCCGACGAAGCTCATCCGTATCTGGTTCTCCAGCATGGATCTTGCGGAGAATAAGACGGCCACGCTCTGGCCTGTGACTGCTTTCGCAGATTTCCATGAGCTCATGGTCTGCAAGTCTTCTACAGTTGGAGGGATCGGGCTCTAGGCCATCCATCACATAGAAGCAATAATTGCGATACTGATGCTCCGGAAGCTGTAATTTCTTCAGAACGCACAGAATGATCTCATCTGCCGTTTTGCAATGTTTGATGTCAAGCACCTTGGTCTGACCACCCGTGTATATCACTCTGATGACGGGCGAGTTCGTCGGCAACTGTCCCATCGTCAACCCATCGAGGCTAGGATTCTGTCTCAGATGCGAGCCATTTCGGTTGCTGTGACCATTTTCGCTGGGAGTGCCTGGCTTTCGGCTGGTCATGGACCCGGCAGATGAGGGATGGCCGAAGTACCCTGGTCCCTGCTCCTTCCGCCCGGTTTCCATTGGACTACTTGCGACATACTGTTGAGCACGCAAAGGCGATCCGGGTCGCGACGATGACCGGCCGGCGGAGTAACTATGAGAGCTACTCTCCGCTGCTCGAGACATGCGGCGTGTACTCGTTGTTGGTCGCTGATTGGATTGGCGTGATGTCCCGGAAGAGGAAGCTGTGTAAGATACGGATTCCAGTGCAGCCAATTGATTCTGTAATCAGATCAGCACGGGAGGTGTCAGACAGCATAGCGTCAAACTTACCATCGTTCTTTGCTTGCGGTTGAGGACTGACTTGTTCCTCAGTTGCTTGATGGCGACGAAGATGCGGACGCGGTCACCGATTTTCTTGATGCCCATTTCTTGCAGAATTTTTTGATCACATTCAATTAGATTGTTACCGTTGACATTGTTCGCTGTGAACTGTTAGTCTGCACGAATCTGAACAATGCCATGAGAGGCGGGTTGCCGCAGGTATATGTACCCTTAAAGAGAGTTTCGTATTGACCACAATTTATGCTATGAAGCCAGGCAACAACCTGCTTCTCATCCCATGACCTGGTACCAATGAGCGTTTGCTAGACCATGAAACGGGCACGTTTGCATGAGCGACTCACCGTACAGCGTCAAGGCCGTCGGGTTGATCCGAAAACTCTGACTCCGTCGGGCTGGTAAACAACATGCCACCCTGGGAATCCCCATGACCACCAGTCTTCGGCAACGAGCCAGTGTAGTAGGACGTCGTGGGGGTTTGCGTGGATTGTAGGCCCAACGGGTTGTATGTGGCCTTTGCTAGCATGTTGGCGACTTTGCTCGAGCACAGGTGAATGATCACAATCGCCTCGATGTTGTTTTGTCGAGTCAGAGACTCGGATATAGGTCTGAGCCCACGATCGATAGAGAACCTGAGCGTAGAGGTCGGGTGTGGTTGCGAGGTACAGGCTGAATGATATCCCCCAAACGGCGACTGTAGGAGTTAAGATCTCGACTGAGACTTTGTGTGGGGTCTAATGCATGGTACGAATCTGCTGCCTGGTTGTGATGATGCATGTTAGCGGAGGTAGCGCAGAGGTGGGGATGGCGACAGAGGAGCGATGCAAGATGCGACAAGCGTTCGGGGACGAGGAGATAATAGAGAACCGATCTTACATTTCAATCGATCGAAGAGCACGGGGGATGTTTGGCAGCAGATTAACACTAGAGGTAGTGGCTTCGTGATCTGCCCGGCCTAGGCTCAGTTGGGCTCTCCGCTCCCTCACACCAGGTGAGATGTCCTGCAGGCTAAGATTCTCTTGCTCTTGACGGGAAATCACTGTTCAGTCGGAAGAAGGAAGAGAAGAAGAAGAAGAAGAATGGACCAACAAAGGACCAGTCCAAGCGTCGAGGCTAGACGTGGGGGTGGAAGATTAGCAGCAGTTATAGCCGCTGGATCGAAGGCTGAAACGGCTGGGGGAGGGTGGGAATAAGACGGAGAAAGGAATAGATGAAAAGGGGAGGGGAGGAGGCTTTGATAGGCGAGATTGGCAAGACAAGGCAAGTTTGACAACAAGACAGCCACCTCGCCTAGGTAGTTCTTTGTCTCTCTGTGTCTCTGGGTGTGTCTCCTTTGGTGTTGAGGGGGAGGAGAGGGGGGGGAGAGGGGGGGGGGGAAGTTTTCATAGATAGTTAACTTAGAGATTAGAGAGAGATAGACGGGAAGAGATGGTTTAATGGATCTGGGCTGGAAGGCGAGTACAGCGGGTTGTTTAGGCCGATCGGTCGGGGACGATGGGATGGGCACCTTCCGACATTCTACTACTGCGGGATCATTCTCAAACACGCCGCAGGCGGATGATTTGTCAAGAGGCCCAAACCTGAAACAATGAACTCTCGCAGTTCAAGTCATTATTTTCGTTTAACTTATTCAACTCTCCAACCCGCACCTTATCGCGCGCCCGCCCCATACCCGCCGCCTATTCTTAGGGGAGGTTCCATGGTCCTCGGCAGGGAACCACTTGGTACGCGTGGAAAGAAGGAGAAGCAAAAAAACATATAAAAACATAAAAAAAAAAAAAAAAAACCGAAGAAAGGGAGAGGAGAAGACCCATAAGAAATCAATCAACACCTCTGCCTTTCATTATTTCTCTTACTTGTAAGTTGAGAAAGCAGTTGTTGTTGGTTCCGCGGGGGTAACAATAGATTGAATATCGGCCCGGGCACCAACTAGTTAACCCACCCTTTGCTCAACCCGGAGATTTGCTTTTTGTACTGTACCTACTTATAACCACTTCACCAGTCCACTTGGCCATTGGCACGTCATTCTGTCTTACAGTCGAACAGGCTTATAATGCCCCTTCTGTCACTCAAGGGGGCAGTTCTTAAGGTTGATCCTACCACGTCCTGACTCGCCAAGCTTTAGCTATGGTGGGGATGTCTTCTTGCCCCCAGCCCCGGCGGCCCTGTTCAATTCGCCATGAGGAACTTGCAGGAACAGCAGATTCGTACTAACCCTGATGGTTATCGCCCAGTAAGTCAGTGACGAGAAAGGGGTATCCCAGGCACAATTAGACTATGTATAAAACAATCTACTGTAACCTAGTATGGAGTGTAGTAACTGGATTATCCACTATGAATCCAGCCTGTTTAATGGTAACGCATGTGTTTTTAAGGTTCACCCTACCCTCGTATATATATCTATATATAATATTAGGTCTTGACGTGTGGTCATTTCGGCCGCGATAACAAGGTAGTCTTTTTCCAGAAACCCCACACTGTCTGGCTTGAACATGCGAATAGGGGGACATCCTAGGACAGGCTCCTATATCGGGTTAATGGTGCACCCTGAGTAACGATGCAGGTGGGAGTTAGAACACTCTTAAAATCTCTTCCGAGTAATCAGACATGTCTGACATGTCTGCGCATCCTGTCAGCGTCAGAATATCAGAGCGAAGTGTTTCAAGTCTAGGCTTCGATTGAAATCATCATTTCCCCGGGAGTTGCGGGACAATTTATAGATCTATGGGCCTGTGATCGCATACATGTATGCGCTGTACTCCGTACCAACTCCAGTTCTTTTCCTTTTCCCCTCACTGGCCTTGCAGTGGGCAATTTCGAGTGCTGGTAGGAAAGCGGAAATCATTGATCTTCCCCCAGTAAGGTCCTCATTGAGTCCCCTCGCCAAATGACCCAAATGAGGAGACGCTTCGAGTGCACTGGTGGATTTGGTCACCCTAAGTGACCATCTCCGCACCAGTGGGGATGGCGGAGTCGCTTGATCGCAGAGGAAGGATGTACAGTACGCACGGGGACAGTGGTTAGCTGCGCGTCAGGTCTGCCAAACGGGACAATGCAGCTGCGACTGCGACCGTACTCGTGTAGGCCTGTCTATCTAAGAGACATGCAGCACTTGAAGCTGAGGCGGGGAAGGATTCCCCGAACAGGCGATGATGACCGTAACTACTCAGGATACGTAGAACCCAGTGCACAGGTACATATAGTACTTCGTACAGTACTCCGTACAGTAAAGTAGGGTTTTCGGTCGGGGTGTTGCTCCTACCACGTGACCGACCTTTTGCAAAACCCCCTCATGTCGACCCCACAGTTTTTCTTCCCCGCTCGCCTGTAATCCCATCAAAAAGGACATGGTCCAATTCCACGGCCATTCGCCATGGAGGACGAAAGAGCCAACCCAGGCAAAGTGAGGAAGAAGAGTGCCCCAGCTCATCGCAAGTCTCTGTCCTGTGAATATTGCAGCAGATCATTTGCGCGCCTGGAACACCTTCAGCGCCATCTCCGCACCCGTTGAGTAACCCCCTCTCGAACTCTCCTCAGGAGGCTTCTGCCCGTCTACAAATGAGATTCTGACTCTCTGATCCCATAGATACCAAGGAGAAGCCTTTCTCATGTGATATATGCTCCAAATCATTTGCTAGAAGGTATACTTGTCATCCCCGTGGCATCCAGATTCATGCGCGCTAATATGGGGGAAATTTCGATAGTGACCTGCTTGTACGACACGAGCGGCTAGTCCACCCTGCGGAAACTGCCGCCGGTCGAGATCACCGCACGCAGAACAACAACCAGGATGTTCCTCAGACGCCCTCTTCTATAATTCAGCCTGCTCATCATGAGTCTCGTATGCTAGAGCTTGCCGACGCTGTCCCACTGCACACGCAACCGATTCCACAGCCTCCGCCAGAAGTGCAAGTCCAAGCCCCTCCCATAGTGGAAACAACTCATTTCAATCCATCGTGGGGGTATGACCTGAACCTTCTCTCGCATGCTGCGAGTCATGTTGCTCTTGAGGGTGAACAGGAGAGTCTCGAGTCGTTACGGAAATCCTCGCAAAACGTGGCGCCTCCTCAGCCGCTCGCCCATATTCCGGAAAGAGCGATAACTGATAATTATGGCGTGGAACCCTCGATCTTGGACCTTGCTGATCTAGGTGATCCAGTTCAAGACTTTACCGTCTTCTTGGAGAGTGTGGGACTCTCATCAGACTGGGACTCCGGGGTATTCTCCTCTGTCGAAGAGCCGATGTTGCCGGCTACACTTCCCATGGAGACCAAGCCGTCTGTTCGCGAGATGGGGAGGCTCGGTCCGGAGCTTCACAGTGATCCACGAACAGCAGCAGACGACCCACCGTCGTTCTCGAACTTTGGGTCCCGATTACCATCCTTGCAACCAGAACCGCATGAAGTGGACGATCGCCTTGGTTTCGCGGATGAGGGACCTCGCGCCGCGTGGGATATAACCAATGCTGACCGTCAAATTTTTGTCTCTAAACTTGAGGCATTTGCTTTCGTCCTGCCCAAGAACTTTGTTCCACCCTCAAGGCACGCTTTGTCGCGCTTCTTTGCGGGCTACATCAACGGATTGAACGAACACCTCCCCTTTATTCATGTTCCCACCCTCTCTGTCGCAAAATGCTCCCCAGAGCTTACGCTTGCATTGGCAGCAGCGGGGTCTCATTATCGCTTCGAAAACAACCGAGGGATCGAGCTATTCCATGCGGCAAAAGCCATTTTACTTCAGCGTCTTCACAGAAGAGATAGCAAGCAAGTCGCCTGTCCGACATGGAACTATTTATCACCGGGATCGGGTTTCCATACCTCTCGTGACTCTTCCACCACATCTAACCATGCCAGTAGCCCGTTTCAGCAACACCATCAACCCCAATCTCATCATCACCATCACCATCACACCCCGTATCCAGCAGATCCCTCGGGTTACTCGGCAGAGGACTCAGATGCCCATATGGAAGTCATCCGAACCTTCCTTTTGCTCACTGTTTTCGCTTCTTGGGAAAGACATCCCGAATTACTGAGGGAAATACTCTCGCTTCAGAGCACCTTGGCAAGACTGGTCAGAGAGCATGGTCTGTCAGAGCCCCCTCCTAGCCCAGATCCTAATAACTGGGAAGAGTGGGTCCGGAGAGAAGGTAACCGACGCACGAAACTCATCGTGTATTGTTTCTTCAACCTACATTCTATTATGTACAACATCCCCCCTCTGATTTTGAATGCGGAGTTGAAATTGAACATGCCGTGCTCGCATGATGTCTGGAAAGCGACCAACGCGGCCCAGTGGCGGCGGGTGGCCCGCATACGACATGGGTCTGATGTCCCCTTCCAGGAGGCTTTTGCTAAATTGTTCCTCAAGTCGAATATGTCGGGCCCTACCGCACCCATATCTCCCCTCGGAAACTATATTCTCATCCACGCTCTCATTCAGCAGATATTCTTTGCACGCCAGCTCTGTCTCTCTGCACCAACTATGCAGGGTACCAGCTTGAGGGGCGAAGATCTGACTGTCCTAGATAATTCTTTGAGCGCCTGGAAGGCACTATGGAAACGCACACCCGAGTCCAGCATCGATCCACAGAACCCGGCAGGGCCAATCGCATTCACATCGACCGCTCTTCTGGGCCTCGCATATATTCGATTGCATGTGGACCTGGGACCCTGCCGGCGCCTCATGACGCAGGATCCAGGCCAGATAGCAAGGGCCCTCAGTGAATCGCCGCTCATAGCTCGGAGTCCTCGTCTAATCATGGCTCTGCTACATTCCGCTCACGCGCTTTCGATTCCGGTGCGTCTAGGCATCGACTTCGTCGCCAGAACCCACTCTTTCTTCTGGAGCATTCAACATTCCCTCTGTAGTTTGGAATGTGCCTTTCTTCTCAGCCGATGGCTGCTCTCAATACCAGTGACCCATGCTGAGCAAAGGCTCTCAGACCACGAGCGGAAGTTACTTCTCTGGATCAAGAGCATGATGGATGAAACCGACATGGCTGTCGATCCGCCGGGAGCACCGGATATGGATTTCATTGCCAATCCATTCAAAGCAAAACAGCTGAGTGTGGCTATCGTGCGTGTGTGGGCACGAACTTTTAAGGGAAACACCAGCTGGGCCATAGTAGATCTGGTTGGTTCAAGCCTAGATGCCTATGCTGATCTTCTTGAAACCACACCATGACCGCCCCACGCGGTGGAATTGCTATGTGACACTCCAGCGTCCCTTGACTTGGACTGGACATTTGCTTGTCACCAAGGCCCTCCAAACAATAGTGAAGGAGTCCGGGCTTCCGATTCCTAGATTGTCGTGTTGCTCCTTTGGCTATTCTACTGGGAACGATATATGTTGCTGTATACCCACGCTGCTCGAAAGTCTTCATATTCCCTTATTACCCCTGTATATAGATACGTTATGATTTGCTATGTCATTTGGAGCGGAGCGAACTCCTGCGCCCTTGTCACTTGCCGTGACATGGATCTCAACATGGATCTCAACATGGATCTCATTCTGCCGACTTTGGCAGGTGCTTTCCGGCACGGGAGGGAGTCTCCAGGCTCTGATAACACGAAAGAACAGAAATGTCATCGATGCTCTTCCCCGCATGTGATGGTTGCTGCAGGTCCTTCTGGAGAGTCCCTTATGCTATGTGACCCGTTTCCCAATTTGAGCAAGGCGCCAAAAGAAATATGAGTTATCTAATGATCCGGCGTCGAAATACCGCGAAGAATCACAGATTCTGTCCACTTGCTTGCTTCGATTTTTCGAGTAGAACGTAAGCTATATGCGGAGCTACTGCAAGGTCAAGATCTCCTTCCAACCCTGCCATGGTTTCTCGTAACACTGGATGGCACGAATCGCAGAGCAGACATGGACTTCTCCAACTCGGCGATCTCCATCTCATCGGAGGCCGCGGGGGTCGCGCGTGTCTGTTGCACATCCGCGTTCGCGCTCGAAAAGGAGCTAGAAGTCGGTCTGTTCCTCAGACGCCCTTCCTGGGGGGAGGCAGGAGCAGTCGATAGACGGCGCCGGTATGTCTTGGTTGGCCGCAACAACGAGGTCTGTTTATCGATTCCATCATTGACTATGTAGAAATTGTATGTCTGCACGTCCGTGTGAGGATTAGAAAAGGAAAGCCGTAGTACGCAAACGACAGGGCAAACGCTCAGACCTTAGGAAACATGTGCTTGTCGATAAGGTGCATTCTGCGTTTCTGAGGTGTCGAGCATTTGCGCTCGCAGTCCTCAATGAAGCACCCGTACTGGAGAAACCCGCCTCACAGCAATCAGGGTCAGCGATTAGGCCAGACACACGGTCAGGTTTGGGTTGCGGGAAGGGAAATCCTCCTACAGTCTTCTCGCCTCGTTCGCGTCGCGTCGCGACGATGGCGTCATGGTTCTCTTCAATGTGAAGGTTCAGAAAACGATCCGTGGGGAAATTCTTCCCACATTGGGAGCAGCGGTTGACATGTGACTGCCGGTAATGGACCTCGTAATCGTCGTAGGAGGCGAAGGCGATGGTCTCGCGGTGCGGTGGGAGGGAGCAGTGCATGACTTCAGCAACCGGAGCGGCTGTGTCTGGCAAGTGCACCTTGGAGCGTCCGAGAGAGGGCGCGGCGGAGGATGCTGGGGATGCTGGCCACGACGACCCCCCATCCTCCTCGGACGACAACAGATCGGCGGCGGCGTCGGCGGCGGGCGAGTCGGAGTCGCTGCGTGCGCGTTTGGTGGACATGCTGGCCGAGCTTTGCTGTCCTGCGTTTTGAGGAGATAAATGCAACAGTGATAGGTCAGTTGCGAGGTAATAGTTCACTCTGCAGCAATGGCGTGACACTTGGACTATCCATTGGTGGAGGAGGTCAATCTTTCTGCCTGTGCAGATGGGTTAGCGACTAGGTATTGTTGTTGGGAGTGGAGTCGGTACTTACATAACTATCTAAAGATGGAGCAGTGAGTCAGGGAGGAGCTGCCGGTCTTTTGACCATGTATCTCCAAGTCGAAAGTCATTAAGGTAGATGTAATTCCTAACATATAAGCTGAAGATGTTATCATATATAGTAATGGAAGTAGGAAGCAGCCCGGCCACGGCTGATTCTATTGGCTGGATATGCCTCACCGCCTGCGCATTCATTCTAGTATTGATTTTGTCTGCCTCGCAAAGAAAAGTTCCCCGTCATAAAGTTCTCATGGGATTTTCCCTTCCAGCGAGCGGCGGCCTTCAACCCCTCCGTTGTTCGTCCTGAATTGGATTTATCAACACCCTCCATTTGGAGCTCCTCTCAATTTTCTTTTCTTTTCACTTCTTCTTTCATGTGTGCTGCCAATCGGGGTTACTAATTCACAACCCACTCCTCTTCCCTGACGTTTTTGAAATTGCATACCGTCCCCGCTCACCGCGCTTGTTCTGTATATACTATCACTAACTGATGGATCGTTCACTGCCTTTGTCGCCCGCACACTCTCAACCAGCCATAGCCATCTGACGGCGAAGTCAACGGTGGAGGTGAAGCGGGCTCCGGTGATCTCATCTCCTGAGCATGGCGTCCGCGTTCCAGGATACGTGGCAGTCAGTCCCCTCGCCTTTCTCTCTTTCCCCCCCCCCTCCCCCTCCGCGTCGGACTAATCCCCATTGACGTTGCTAATACTTGCATCGCACAGAACTGCGCTCATTCTCGAAAAAGCGCTTTTCAAGAGCCTTGCCGAAAAAGAGCCCACGTTTGCCGAAATCTCCCATCACCTGTCGGAGTCAGTCTGAATTTCCTTCCCGCCGTCCTCCTGTTGCGCGCAAAACTGATCTGACCCGTTGTCTTGTCATCCTCGTCCGTCGCAGACTTCGCTCCGCTTGCCAAAATGCTATTCTTCAGGACCTCGACGCCGCCCGCTCCGTGGATGTCGAAGGACGCCTCTGGGATAGTCATCTCAAAATCAACACTCGATTTCGTAAATTGCTGTCTCGCGTGAGTCCTACGGTGCGCCCTGTCCGCTTCCGTCTCTAATCCCTGATGTGCGATGGCAGTTCCGCGAGGAAAACGGGAAGAAGAAGAAACCGGTAGAGAAACGGAAGCTCGAGAAGCACTACCTCGAATTCATCAAATCCAGTCAGCGATTTTATCGAGGCTACATCCAACAATTGTCCTCCCATGTCGGTGGGATTCCGGAGCTGGAAAAGGTTGCCCGGAAATTCAATTTCGACAGTGAGCAAATTGCCGGTCCCGTCAACTTTGGCGAACCCACCGTGTTCTGGAGTCTAAACCCTTCACAGATCTGTCGGCGGAGCCGCCCTTGCAACCTACGGAAGCCCTCAGAAAGCGGATCCTTCAATCATGCCATGCGACCTTGATCCGCCTAGGCGATCTTTCCCGCTATCGCGAGACCGAGTTGGTCACCAAGGAGCGCAATTGGGGCCCCGCGATTGGCTATTACGACCTGGCCACTCTGATCTACCCAGCCTCTGGCGCGTCGCATAACCAGCTAGCAGTCATTGCATTGGCTGATGGCAATCACCTTCGAGCTACGTATCATTTGTATAGGGCTCTAGCAGCCCAGGAGCCGCACCCGTCAGCTAAGGGTAACCTGGAGATTGAGTTTAGGAAAGTCATGAATGCATGGGCTAAGCGGGAGCTGATCCGTCCCGAAGATGCTGGGATTCCCGGCAAGGCATTGGCTCCTTGGTTTGTATATCTGCATGCGCAATGTTACAAGGGTAGCGATTTCCTCGAGCATGACGAGCTGGAGAGCGAAGTACTCAATCAACTCGCTGTTGACTTGAAGGAACGCTCACTCGAAGGCACTTTACAAAAATTTGTTTTGATAAACATCAGCGCAGAAGAATTCTCCAGGTTACGCTCGAATGGTAAGTCTCCTAATGACGTAAATGTCCAAGTGTCATGCACTGAACCAAGATTTAGAAGAGTCCGTGTCCAATGCGCGCGCTTTCTTTCAGCGGCTCAATGTGAAGACGTTCTTCACCCTGCTTCAGATTCTTCTTGCAGAAGTTGAGCGATTTGCGGTTGAAGACTCGAGCAACAAGGACGCGCAGACCGGTCCTGACAAGGTCACTGTGGTCGCTCGTCGGGTTCTCCCCGCACTCCGAAACTACAGCTCCTGGTTACTCACGGTCAGCCACTTGCTAGCAGCGCATAAACAAGAAAGGGATACACCTCTGGCGGTTCAAATCACGGAGTTTTGGAAGATATACGCCAACACATTGACTCTTCTGGCCTCAACTTTCGACGTAGTGCATCTTCCCGAAATCGACTATCTCTTGGAAGAAGATGAAGAGACTCTGGCCTTTGCGCCCCTGAGCAAAGACACAACTTCTCGCAGATACCTGGGTTCCAACGGTCAACAGAAGCCTCGAATGAATGACCCAGGTGTGGAACGTAATCACCCCAACATGGAAATGTTTTATCGAATCCGCGAGTTTGTGATCGATGGCTTGGATTTGGTAGTCAGCAATAAGATTCCCATCGCACTCGTTGATGACGAAGACAAGAAGACTTTCATCTACAAGGAAGAAGACCTCCCTTCGCAGTTTTTTGCGAGTCCCCCGGGGCACAGTCATACGCTGTCCTCCGCGAGAGTTGAACGGGAGGAAATACAACAAGCGAACCGTGATGTCAACCAGGCCCCAGATGCTCCGAGTGTTTACGGTGGATCGCAGTCGGCATCGATGTCTGCTAGTATGAACCGCATACTCGAAGGCGTGGAACGTTTGGTTGAGTCGGACACGTACGAGAACGCTCCGAGCGTGCCAGAAAGTCTGACTCTTCCGCAAAGTGCTAGCCGGCAGCGGCCATCAAGTCAGTACTTCGATCCGAGCACGGAAACAATCTTCCGCGAGGATTTTCTTCCTCGGCAGACTCCGGTTGCCCCTCCAGGACTTCCACCGCCCGTGGCCAGCGGCTCGGCCCCTCTTGCCCGTGTTTCGTCATCCCAGTCCTATACTGCACGACCTGCGCTTCCCAGCATCCCCAGCATCTGGAACACATCCCTATCTTCCAGCCTCGGTGGTGATGCTCCCTCTCCTCGGACGCCTCCCGGGCTCGGACATCAGTACCCAACTCATTCACTGTCGGGAAGCATCGGCAGCCCGTCAAGTCACTACCCATCTCACGAGTCACTTACGAACGAGCTATTGCTTCGCCAGAGTCTGATGAACCAAGTTCCAGCCGCTGGATACCTTCACCGCATCCCCGGCCCAGGCACGGTTCCCTCTTCCTGGATACCCTCCTCGAGTCCATCAACGCAGAGCCACCGGCTTTCCGGTCTTGCATGGGACCGAGCACTTCTAGACACGGGCGTCAGCGGGGGATCGATCGCTCTCCCCAACAACCAACCGTCGGCATCAGCACCAAACATGGGCTCCCCTAGCGGTTTAGTCAACTCATCGTGGGCCAATGATGCCTTCCTTGCCAGCACCTTGTCCTCCGGTGCAGGCTACTCTAGCTCTTCTGGCTTCAACAGCAGTGCCCGCCAATCTTCTCCACAGTACGGTGCTATTGGTCAGAATAGCACTCGCTATGGTCACGGCGGTTGATCTTGTCGACATGCTTCGTCTCGTAGATGAATCGCTATGACTTTTTCTGTCCAATTCTGCCGATTATGCGATTGAGAAAAGCGAATGACAGCGGGTTTCCAACAACGTCAGCGTTACTCTCTGTCTCTCTTCTCTGCTAGGATCCTCTCTCTATACCCTCTTGGTCGCACATATACGCAGACCTGAAATGGACAGAGAGACGAAGCAGGTGAACGATGGAACGAACAACCGGATTCTCAGTATGGACAATGGCGATTGAGCCTTGGAGGCAGACAGGACATTGGGCGACTCGCAATATATAGCCAGCTGCAATCATCCAAGTCGCGTCGTTGCTCAGCTACAGATTCAGCTCAAGCCAGGTTGTGGGAGTGGTCGAACCAACATGCACGGGCGTCCTTGATCGGTCTGCTTCCAATGTGTGTGTGAGAAAGTGAAGGAGGAAAAGAGCTGGAGGATGCAAGCATCAGGTCATTCGGGTTTCTCTGTATCGCGTTACCATTCCCATACACTAAGCTTAATTCCCCGAGCCCTCTGGGCCTGGATGGATACTAGTGCCGATGGCGGCAACCTTGAAGATGTATCGAGCTGGTTTCTAGTTTCAAATCGTACTCTCATACTCAATCACATACTCCAGTCACTTCGGACTCGGATCGCTGTTCTCGATTTACGCTGCTCTGTTCAAATGTGTCTATTCCCAGCCTTGGCTGCACAAGGCCAATTGATTTGAAGCGAGACTTTTACCACCTAATATGACACACACACATATCATGTTTTCACGGTCTTATGTTATCTATAGCTGAGGGATAGCATGTAGTCATCATCATAGTTCGTTGTTGAGAACGTTCATCCGCCCAATTCTGGTCCATCTATTGAACTTCCATCGGAGAGAGGCACCTTTCTCAAAACATTCCATTGAGGATTTGGAAAAGAAAAAAAGAAAAGTAGGAAAGAAATGGTCAAAGACGTTAAGTCATCGACAGAAAAATTGGGTATAGAAGGTTGAATCCTAAACTAGAAACGAAAAGATTTTTTGTTTAAACTCGGTGGTTGGCCCATAGACATATATGTTTCATGTCCTCAGTCCCGTGATGTCGGACGGGACCTTGAATTAGTATGACTGCGTGGTGAGAGATTCTAGTTGGAGGGGGTGTAGGTCTGCTTGGGGAAGGGGAAGCTAGACGTGAAGAATGGACGTTAGCCTATCACTCTGACCTTGTCGGCTAGGTCGAAAAACTTACGAAGGTCCGAGCTCCTGGATGCTCAGGGAAGCGAGCCACTGGCCGAGATCGATGCTCTCCTCAAGGGACTTGCCCTGCACAACACCGGCGCAGAAACCACCAGCAAAGGCATCACTATAGAAGAATCAGATACAAATTCACAGGGCAGAAGTCTCGGTTTACTCACCCAGCACCGTTGGTGTCGTTGATGCTGCTCTTGGGGATCTCGCGGACGGGGAACTGCTTGACCTCGACTTCACCGTTGGGCTTGACGGTGGCAGCGACGGTGGGATCGGTGCCCTGGGTCACGATGGCAACGCGGGGACGGCTGGTGTTCTTCTTGGGGAGCTGAGCCAGCTTCTTGGCGATCTCAACAACATCATCGGTGCCCCATTCGTGGCTCTCGGCGTAGGAACGAGCCTCGGTCTCGTTGCAGAAGGTGTAGTCGGTGTAGGGCAAGACGCTGTCGAGCTGCTCCTTGAAGAACTGGGGAATGAAAGGAGCCGAGAGGGAGAGCATGAAGACCTTGTTCTTGGCGGCAGCCTCCTCACCCAGAGCCTGGATGGCAGGAACGCTGACGGTCAAGTGGTAGCCACCGACATAGTAGAACTGGGCCTTCTCGACGAGAGACCAGACGTGGGGCTGCTTCAAGTGGTCAAGCTTGTACTCGTTGGCGGCAGCAAGGTGAGTGCACATGCTACGGTTGTGACCGGTGATGATGACACCGCACTTGCCGGTGGGCTGAACATCATCGATGCGGTACTCGGTGTGGACACCAGCCTTGGCGCAGGCCTCCTTCAGGATGTCGGCGTACTTATCCTTGCCAACGCAGCCAATGTACATGACGGAGTTCTCGGGGAGGATGTACTAAATCCGCCTGGCGGTTAGTAACTCGTCTCGGACTGCGGACGGAGAAGATGATGAGGCTCATACCTGAGCACCACGAGCAGTGTTCTGAGCGGCACCACCAGCAATGAGCTTGGCATCAAGACCGAGGAGCTCCTCATACAGGCCCATGTGCTTATCTTCGGCGAGAATAGCATCGTTGTCCTTCAGGCCATACTTCTCCAGGAGAGCGGCATCACTATGCGGAGGGGGGGGGGGTAAGAGTCAGCAAGGCTTGACGTTTGCAATGACCAAATGAATAGAAGAAATGCGTAGATAGAGGATAAGTGACATACCCAACTGCCTGGATATCTGTAAAGCTCATGAACTCGATGTTAGCCTAAGCCTGGGGACAAGCCCGAATAGTGGGGGAAACGGAGTAGATGGAGGGGAGGAAGATCTCACGCACCCAGGAGGGGGTTCTCGAGACACAACAAAGGGTAACCCTGAGGAGCAGCCATTGTGACAGAGGGAGGTGCAAGTATGGGATGACTTGGAAGGGAAAAAAGAGGTTTAGGGGGTGAGAGAGGGGGGAGAGAGAGGAGGAGAGGGCGTTCGGAGTACTTAAACTGACTTAAACTGACTGATGGGCGGAGGAGGGGCCGGCGGAGTCTGATTGGGCCGAGCAAGGGAGTTCCTCCGGCCTCCGACCTTCCCTTCAACTTGTCCGACGGAGAGCTTCGACTAAGTTAGCCGTGGACCTATACTGTACCTGTTTATTGCTTCCAGTTTATAACTAAGAACTGAGAATATCCTTCCACCTTCCCTTTCCCATCGCAAAACCAAAGTATTTTCAGTACTAATCACAACACCACAATGACCGACCCTATCCTCCAAATTCCCGAGGTCATCCAGACGGCTTCCATCAACCGAAACCCCTCGCCGGACCACGACGTCAACCCGCCGACCGCAGCCTCCGAAAAGCAGCCCGTAGCTGAAGATGCTCTCTCCGAAGCTGGCAGCATCCCCTCCGATATCGTTGACCCTCGCCATATGGTCAGACCGGCCACCCGGCGCCATAATTTCCCCCCACTGCCCGACCTGCGCTTCGAACAGAGCTATCTCGCCAGCTTGCGTGGCGCCGATACCTGGGGACGAGTTGCGTGGATCACCATCAGAGACCAGGTGAGTACCTCCGTCTCTCAATTCCCAGGAAGGAAGCAATTTTGCTGGTGGGATGTTCTCCAGTCAAAGCCAGGGCCAAGTTGAATCTCTCGCTCACCTTTCTTCCTTCTTCCTACAGGTCCTCCTTCCTCTGATGCAGGGTACGCTCTGGACGCTGGCCCTCTCCGGCTGGCGCTTCTGGAACCGCAATGCCTCCCTCAGCGGACAGACTCTGGGCAGCAGAATCCGTCGATGGTGGTACGAGGTCAACAACTGGAAGCTCCCTCCTCTGGGCTCGGCCAGAGATCCTCGGGTTGCCGCCAAGGTAGATGACGTGAGTGATTTCCCCCCCTCAGTCTGTCCCGTTACTGCACGAAACCCTTTACCGGAATTCTTGGGACCCTCTGACATTCTCGGAGTTTCTGCAGTTCTACACGGCCCAGTTCTCTAATGCCGTCTGAATGCTTTGGACACTTGTGACCGCGACCAAGTCGTTGAAAGACTGCGTTTTGTTCATCGAGGTGGGTCTTTTTTCTTGCATTTTGGGTGTTTAGCGTACGGCGTTTGAATTCTATCAGGAAGCGGTGGGATCATGAGCATACCCTTTTTTTTTCCCCCTTCTTTTGACATCGCCAACCGGTCGTTCCATCCGACAAGCCCTGGAGGTTTATGCCCGTGGTGTCTCGCTTCCCGAGGCTTACTGGCTTGTCTTGTTAGCTAGATTATGCAATCTGTAGTTGTGGGTTTATTCATGTATATATTGCATAAATGTCCCAGCTCCGTGTTCTTGGACGGCGACTCAATCCATACTGGCATGTAGAGAGTAGAGCAACGTAAAGAGAGCCCGTTCCGGACAAAGGACACTCACATACCAGATGTAAGCATTAACATAGATCTTCTTATTTATGAATAATGTATCTTTTTGCACACCCCACACCACTCAGAAATCGAGATTCACAATGCTACCTCCCCAGATTGACCCCTTCCATGGATCGAGAGAAAAACGCCTAACAGATAGATCCCGTGTTTTGACCCGTATAGATGACAGTTGACAGTTGACCAAAGGGAACGCTCTCGCAAATAATATTACCAGTGGTGAAGATAGAAAAAATGGTTTCTCTGCTAAAGATAGCCTCTTGATAGCTCTAGTATCACTTGGAGGCGCTGCTGCTTATTGGATAGCTTCGCCCGTGACTTTAACTGAAGCCTTAGGCTCAAGGGTATTGGTATGGGTACCAGTGCTGTTCTGCTTCAAGGGAGCAGCCGAACTGGTTGCGGTGATCGGCTTCGTGCCAGATGGTTCGGTCCCTTGGGACGGTGAATGGGCATGCGGTGGGCTGCCGGAAGATTGACTCAAGCCTTCGTGCTTGGTCGCGGAATGTTCCTCCGACGGTCGTTCAGCAGGGTCTGCCGAGCTGCTTGCCTCCTTGCCTTTGTCCTTGTTGTATCGGAGCTGCACCACCAGGCTGGGGGGCTCGCCGTTCGCAATTTCTTCATCGCCGCTCGCTTCCTCTTCGTCATCACCTTCAAAGTCGTTGTCCTCTTCCTCCTCGCCACCTTGCCATTCGTTACCGCTTGACTGCGCACCAGCTGAGCCCTCCTCCATCTCCTCATCCATATCGTAGTCGGTATACCCATTGGCCCGGTTCGCCCTCGATCTCGTGGGCCGGCCCTCGTCGCCGGTCGGAGCATCGTCGCGTTGCCCGGCGAGCAAGGACTCGCCGTACAGTCCGCCCGCGCGAGATCGTATTTGTCGGCCACTGGCTGTGTATCTGGGGCCCGCTGGCTCTACGGGAGTAGACACCCCCGAGGTATTTCGTGTTGAGCGTCGCGTCGAAGGAAGGCCGTCGGAGAAGATGTCTTCGTCGTCGGAGTAGGTGTATTTCAACTTCTTGCCACGAGTGCGGCCTTCGTAGAGGGAAAAGCCCGGCTCGGGGCGAGCGAATTGTGCTTTCCGAGCAATCCGGTAGTCGCGACGTTTGCGTTTCTGTTGCATGATGAGCGCAGGTCGTTGGCCCCCGGGGAGCGACCGAGACTTACCTCCTCTGATCCTTCAAACCGAGGGATGGAGTTGCGGATCTTCTCGCTCAGCTTCTTGGAGTGGATATTCTTCTCCTCGTCGAGCTTGTCCGCGATGACCTTCAGCTCCGGGATGCTCCCCGCCACACTCCACCAGGTATTGGTTTTTAAGGCCGGGTTGCTCTCGCGGTATAGTCGGAAGTGGGTATCATCCAGGCCTTCAATAAGCCAGTATCGACGCTTGAGGCCGTCGCGACCCCACGGCTGGACGGAGAGCGGTTGGTTGAGGTCGTCCTCGTGGCGTGCTTGCTTGTAGGATTCTTTGATCTTGGCTTGGACGGCGTCGGAGGAGGAAAGGGACCAGAGGATCAACGATTTGAGTAGTAGCAACTAATGTGTGTCAGCAAGGTTCTGCTGAGCAATGCGACCGCGCGACATACGCGTTCTTCCGGCTTCATGGTTGTGAAGTTGTTGCCCCCGTGAAGAGGGTTCTTGCCTTGCCAAGCCCTAGGCCATTGGGGGGCATGCGTCTGGATCGCCTCCTCCAAGGGACGCGTGTAGTGATTCCGACTGCGCATTGGTCACAGGATGTTAGTTTTCTGTCTGCACCTGGAGATTCAAATTGTAGGTGGTCAATCCGCCCTGTCGGACACCTCCATGGAGCGGGTCTGGGTTGCGGGCGGCGGTCATACTCCACATCTTTCTTCCTATTTAACACCAATCCTAGCAATGCACAAAGCAGTCGTTCAATGTGATCGCCGGGGGTGCTCTCGGCGACACCTCTCTCAATATCCTGTGGTCCAAAGTGTGGTGTCGATCGCGGGAACACATCATGGAAACGCGCGCGGAACATCACAATGAACTAGGGATTGCGACAAGTCAGCACACTGAACCCCGAAGACGTGGACAACGCGTTAAAAATGCTTCGGGGAGCTCCAAGCAGGCCAGCATTTCAGTGAGTCACATACTGCAATATCGGAGTTGTCTGCTAGCACATATTCATGGGGGGGTGAGGGCTCCCGTTTCGGCGGCGGAGATTCGGACTCCTTCTTGAAGTACTTGGTAATTCCCACGGGCTCATCCACGGCCATGGACCCCGTCTCTTCATCCGAAGGGGGCGCTGAGGAGAGCGACGAGAGTTCTGAATCAGAAAGGGACAGGTTCGACATGGTTGTGTGGCTGCCCGATGCTTGTGAGGAGGGGAGATGTTTGATACAAGGTCGAGCGGGCAGGTCCGCGGCGCGGAGAAGTTCTACTTTGCACTACGATTGAAGCGCGGCTTTTACGCGCCTGGCGTTTCTGGCATCATCAAGACAACAGCCCTTATCCAGGGATGATCAGCACCCAATCAGCACCAACCCTTCGGCGATAGTCTGGGTTTGGCTTGCATCAATGGCACACAGAACTGTATGATCTCTTCAATAGGTTCCTGGCAGCACGCGCATTATACGGAGGAGATGTTGAGACAGAGAGATATCAAATTAAAGTAGCGAAATCATCGAACCAAGAGCACCGTCTACTTGTACTGTATGCCTGGGTCAACCGGATGGCAAAATCAGAGATCAGTGTACAGGGTCGTCTCCAACATGGCCATAGTCACAGAGGTGAGGAAGATCGAGGTCGACCAGCACTGTGCTATGGGAGATGACTGTCGACCGGACAGAGGCATACTCCCATGTTCGGTCACCTAACAGGTATGGATGTCTGCCTGGGCAGTGCGATGTACCTGGCAGGATGCACTTTCATGAATGGATATAGGTTCGCATGGACGCGTCAGGCGAGCCTAAACGGACTTGCCCCGCTCGCGGTATACCATGTTGCCATGCGGCTTCCGATCTGTCGTTGACAGCATGGATTTAGACGCACGGGGCGTCTTGAACACCGAGGCACAGACCAAACGCGTGCTAATCATGAATGCAGAACTCGGCCCATCTGAGTTGCAACGACATGGAAGGTCTCAGCTTCTTGTTGCGACCGATGTAGGTTTTCATCGGCCCATCCCGTATATACCTAGAAGCTGGAAGGCTTCGGGACAAAATTGTACTACCAAACGCGGTCAGTTCATGAGAACAAACAGGATATATACGAATCAGCAACTCAAGCACTGGGTGTCTCTCAATTGTACCCGATTGAGTCGATAGTGCTCGATGAGCCGTGAATGACGCATCCCTCGAAGTGGACTTTGTCGAGAATATGATGCATGTACACTATTGTAGTAACTTGGAGTGTAAATAGTCGATAAGCGACTCGCAGCATGGAAAGAAGAGGCTTTTTTATGGTATGGCAGGAGGGGGAAAGGTAAGCGCAGTGGTGGTACGGGCAAGGCAGTAAGTACCTTACGGTACATGCTTAGTAGTTACTGTACTTAGGAACAGGGACATGGGACATGGGACTTATCCACTGTCACTGCATCGACATGGTGGTACTCGGCTAAAGTCCGCGGGCGCTGCGGGAGTGTTGCCAGGTTGGTCCTCTTCCAACTCCGTAGTGGCACAGTAGGCTCATAACCGCGCAATTGCCCTACCGGGCTTAGTCAGAAGCGACCGGCGCCACACCCAAGTCGCAGCCACCGCTCACTCATACACGCTAGCCCCGACGCGGTTAGATTAGCGACTTCCACCCTAAAGCCCACACAGCCCTTCGCCGACGAATTCTCAACACCAACCCGACAAGGTCATCTTAGATTTGAGGTACGAGAACTCGAACTCTCCCACCACCAGGTCGCCGGCGGACTCCTCTTGAATACTAACACCAGGTCCCTATTTAGAAAGTCGCCATGGGTCGTGTGATCCGCAACCAGAGGAAGGGTCGTGGAAGCATTTTCAGTGAGTGCGACCGCAATATTCTCAAAATTCGAAATCTCCTCTGTGCCAGAATCCCGGAATGCTGATGCAAAAATCTCGACTGTAGCGGCCAACACCCGTCTCAACAAGGCCCCTGCCCAGTTCCGTGTCCTCGACTACGCTGAGCGTCATGGATACACCCGTGGTGTGGTGAAGGAGATCATCCACGACCCCGGCCGTGGTGCTCCTCTCGCCAAGGTCCAGTTCCGTCACCCCTACAAGTTCAAGCACGTTACCGAGACTTTCATCGCCAACGAGGGCATGTACACCGGTCAATTCATCTACGCCGGAAAGAACGCCACTCTGACTGTCGGCAACATCCTCCCCCTCGCCTCCGTTCCTGAGGGTACCGTTATCACCAACGTTGAGGAGAAGGCTGGCGACCGTGGTGCTCTTGGTCGTACCTCCGGTAACTACGTTACCGTCATTGGACACAACCCTGAGGAGGGCAAGACCCGTGTCAAGCTTCCCTCCGGTGCCAAGAAGGTCATCAAGAACACCGCCCGCGGTATGGTTGGTATCGTCGCTGGTGGTGGTCGTACCGACAAGCCTTTGCTCAGTACGTTTTTCCCCGATAAGAAATCTGGCTCCGGGAACACAGAAGTCCAGAGAAGGAAACTCTCGCATGCGAATTGGCTGCTAACATTTCCCTACAGAGGCTTCTCGTGCCAAGCACAAGTTCGCTGTCAAGCGCAACTCCTGGCCCAAGACTCGTGGTGTTGCCATGAACCCCGTCGATCACGTAAGACTCCCTTTTCCTGAGCTGCTTCGAGCAGTTATGCTTCAACGAGGTGGAATGGTTGCTGACGTATGTTTTCTCTACAGCCTCACGGTGGTGGTAACCACCAGCACATCGGTAAGGCTTCTACCATCTCCCGCTACGCCGCCCACGGTCAAAAAGCCGGTCTCATTGCTGCCCGGAGAACTGGTCTGCTCCGCGGTACCCAGAAGACCAAGGACTAAGCAATTTATGGTGTGGAGTTCTTTTTGTGACGGGTTGAAAATGCTCTTTTGCTATGAGGCATATGTACTTAGGCGACTGCGGATAATCTCCCATGCGTCCTTAGCCAAGTTAGGTTGTGGCCAACAAATATTTTCATGATGACCAAAGCAAAAGAAAAAACGGGTTAAAAATTCAACTCCTGTGCCTGTGCTTGAACACGTATCTCTGTTGCGGGGCTTGCTGGTGCGCTGTAGTGTAGGCGATGCAGTCGACGGTTCGGACAGATGGGAGTTGCTCTCACATCTAAAGTGTCATGTCCGGACAGCGTGTCCTTTACAGCATGACATTGTAGTGAGATTTCCAATTGTCTTCGAGGCGTATGATCATGATGTAGGTTGTGTAACCTCGTTGATATATGTTTTCGAAGTGTGCTGCGGCCGCCCATTGTCGGGTAGAGTACAGACTTTTTCTTCGTCAAGCAGAACATCCTGATACAACTAACATACATGCTGGTATTCAGAGGACCTATCGACTGACATTGGAATTATTCTCGCGCGCTCCAGACTTCTTCGGCTACCGAAGTAGAAATTCATGTAGGTAACTTGGAGTCTGTTGCTTTCAAAGTGACCAATCACAGCATTGAGTCTTTACACTGGGTAGAAGAGGTCCCGGTACTCAAAAGAAGCACTTCAGAACAACCACCTACAAAAACATCATCTCCCTAAACATTTCGCTCAACCAATGCCCGAGGCATCCGCACGCTCTCCCAATGGACCAAAAGCCACCACCCCTCAAGCTTCCTCCACGCCTGATTCCTCCTCCACCCAGTCTGGCCTGCGCCTCCGCGCGCTGGCAGGCGGTAGTCAAGCGTGATCCCACCGCCATCACATTCGTCTACGCCGTGCTAACGACCAAGATCTACTGCCGTGTCGCCTGTCCCGCCCGACTCGCGCGACGGGCCAACGTCCGCTTCTACGATCTGCCCTCCCAGGCAGAAAGGGCAGGGTTCCGGGCGTGTAAGCGCTGCAGACCCGAGACCCTGCAGACCGGCGACGGCAGCAGTAGTCCTCAGGTTCAGCTGGTGCACCGAGCATGTCAGACGATCGCGTCGACCGTCCAGTCGGGGTCGAAGCCCACGCTTCACATCCTTGCGACCGAGGCTGGGCTCACATCCAGTCACTTCCACCGCGTGTTCAGGAAGGTCATGGGCGTTACGCCGGGGAAGTATGCTGCTGGGATGATGGAGAAGATGAAGGAGAGTTTGGTGGCAGCAGCGACGACGACAACGACGGCGAAGACGGAGTTGTCATTGTTGCAGGGGAAGGAGGGGAAGAGCTACGGGGCGTCTCGGGCTGCTCCGGAAATAGGGACGTCGCGCCAGCTTCAGCCCTGTGGTGGCTTGGAGGTTGCTGTTGCTGCTGATGGGATCAGTCGTAGCGCCGACGTTGGGGAGGAGGAAGAGCTGATCCTGCCGTGGAATGACTTTGATGCAGCATTGTTTGCCGCCGAGACTGGTTTCGTCTCCATGCAGGAGGTGCAGCCCCTGGGTGAACTGCATGCTTGGCATGAGGTTGGCTTATTATTTGATGGTAATGATGATGCTGCTGCTGCTGCTAAATTTCTATAATCGATTAGTCTCTGGGAAATGGGTGCTATATGGTGTCACGGCATGGTGGGATCTTCAGTTTTGATGGGTGGCGTCGGTTTTCCATGTTCATCTTTCGAACTTTGTCGTTGTTTGGATTACAGCCTATGTGACCAGTGTTTCTATAATCCACTATAATTACATGTACTTGAGGCAAGGAAGTGGTTGGTAGACGTCTTTGCGGAATCGGATGAGTGCCTCGACTTTATATATCTTCCCTGATACGGGGCCCACCTCGGAATCAACTAATAGATGATTGTGGTTGTCTACAGAATGCCAATTGTCTATTATAAGCATAGTTGCGTGGGCGATAATCCAGAGAATTGCTCCGATCAACATAGATTAATCGAACACCAAAGGGTGGACTCCTGGCACAAAAATCAAGGGTGGTTTGGCAAGCTCACTGCAGAGGGTCGGAGAGCTCCGCAACAGGTTAAGGATAATTGTACAAATACAGATTAGGTCACTGTGCAGAGTAGCATTCGCATATGAAATCCCCGGCTTGGGAGAGGATCAACTATTCGGTTCAATTGAAGTTTCCAGATGCATCTTGCATCATGATTTATGATCTGCAAATTGCCTGTTGAGCAATAGTCCACGAAGTAAGTACGGAGTATGGTGGATAGCATTTCCTTTTCCACCCCATATCTACCCGTAAGGGCACCCACCCACTGTAGGTATCGTACTGAGCATGATCGATCTAGAGGTCTGGAATACGCAGGCTCTCTCCATTGTGCATTTGATTTTATACATTTCATCACAACTACGAGTACGACTTCGCGCGCGGGCCATTCTCATCTGATACCTTTTTTAGCAGCTATGAACCTCCCCACCATAGACACATACTAAGTATTCATGATTTGATATGCTATAATATACTCAGTATCATCCTGCCGACGTGATGGGCAGAGATTTGCTGATGATCAATGCGCTTTTGGAGTATGACTGACACACCCTGCGAAATCAAATCCAAGACATCCCTCATCACTGTTCCAAATCTCGTAACAGAGAGAAAGCCCTTGTTTCCCACCCCCCCTCTCCTCCCCAAGCCCACCCTTGGTGTTTCTGTAAATAGAACTTCATTTTGACTCGACTGTTCGAGCTGGTGGCAAAGCCAGTCGCGGCCAATCCAAGTGATTTGACGGGCGTTCGGATCTCCACTTCAATGGCCCACAAACGCGTGTCACTTGCTACTTGCTTTGTTGTCAAACCTGTTTCGACCTATGAGGCTTGCCAGTGGAGCGATACACACAACCAAAGGTAGTACAACCCGAGAAGGAGAAAGCCATTCAAGGTCGCGGTCCGGCAATGGATGGTAGAATGGTGGATTGGTACGAATACGATGGGTTGGATGGGGGTTAAGGTACTGGAACCATAATTACTCCGTACTGTGTACTGTGTAGTTTAGCAGTTCAGCAGTCTAGTAAGTAACTGTACTAGTGATGCTCCTGTGTTTCAGCTACACCTCAAACAAAAACGCCTGGCGTTCTGGCCCCGCCTCCACCGGCTCCATTCCTTGATCAATTCATACATCAAACTGCACTTTTCAGGGCTCAGGAGATATCACCATAAAGGACAGATCGGAGAGGAACCATCCAGACGAATTGGCTCATTTGCCGTCCGATATGGGTACTTGATTTTTTGAGTATGACGGAGCACTGAGTATGATCTTGGAACTCGACATTCTGGCCCCTCCCCCCTCCCCACACCCCTCTTCCCACAGGGGACGTTTGTCCATCAGAATTCCGAACTTTACTGAGTGTTGGTGGGGGTGATGTGAATTGGCTAGGAAACCAACAGGCAATGTGGCGCTTTCGGTCCTACTGAGTACAGTACTGTACCTCCAGTGCTCCAGTACTCCGTACAGTACCTATAGTCGTAGTGATTGATTGTACCTAGTACGTACAGTACATCGCCTGGCCCAGTCGTCTATCGGCCGCTTGCGATTGGCATGGGGGGAAAGGAAGAGTTGCTGTTGCTGTCTGTCATTCCGCAATGGACAAACACAACGGTCAAGTCAAATCCAGTCCATTAGTTCAAGTCTAGTACGTACTGTACTAGCTAGCACTCACTTTTAATAAAAATAATTTATTGACCCCAAGGTCAAAGGAAATTTCCCCTTTCCAACCTCCCACTTTCTCTTCCTTCGCTTCAACTTCCTCTTCCTTTCCTTTCCCCCTTCCCCCGCTTGTCGCAAACAAAGCGCAATTTAATTCATCTGCCCTTTTCCTTCTATACCTGAACTACTCCAAATCTCTTCACGTATTCGCCTCCTGGCCGTGGCGCTTTTCTTGTTTTCATTTCTTGTCGATACCCAAGCTGTGCCTTGCTTGAGCACTGTGAATCTCTATTTACACCTGATTCATCCAATCTCGCTCTTCCTGAACACTCACTCTTTTCGTTATCACCGAACTGCCTCGACTCGATCTTTGCGAACCACCAACCACCTTCGAACCCCTTGACACGTTCCCTCTGTTCGCCACGTCCGTTCGCCTGTTTTACTATATCTACCACCGCAATCTACCAAAATGAACGTCAATCGGAAGTTCGATCGTTTCAAGCAATGGGCTGGCGAGAGAATGGGGGGTGAAGTCAAGACCAATTTGTCAGATGACTTCAAGGCCTTGGAGACGGAGATGAACGTGCGCCACGATGGTAGGGTGTTCCTACGGGTCACTGATTCTTGACTCTGCTAATTCCCTGTTCCTGAATAAGGTGTCGACCGCATCCACAAGGCAACCGCCGCTTATATCAAGTCCATCTCGAAGCGCAGCGAAGGCGATGATAAGGAAAAGACGCTGCCTATCGCCCATCTGGGTAGTAGCATGGTTGGCCACGGTGAAGACTTCGATGCAAACTCTGAGTATGGACGTTCCATGATCAGTATGTTAGCCCCTCTATTGACTGTGGGGTGAAGTTGTATGCTCACATGGTTTTCTGTCCAGTGATTGGTAGAGCGGAGGAGCGCTTGGCTCGCCTCCAGGATGCCTATATCTCCCAGGTGAACGCAGGGCTGCTCGAGTCGCTCGAACACTCTTTAACCCAGTTGAAAGACTACCAGGTAGCTAGACCCATCATCTTCGAATATTTTGTTGCAGGGGCACTGATGAGGAGTATAGACTGCCCGCAAAAAGCTCGATGGTCGCCGTCTGGCATACGATACATCGCTTTCCAAGATGGAGAAAGCGAAGAGGGAGGATTTCCGTGTGGAGGAGGAGTTGCGGACTCAGAAGGTCAAATACGAAGAGGCCAACGATGACGTTTGCCGAAGAATGCAGGACATCAAGGACTCGGAAGCCGAGGGCGTAATCAATCTGGAAGCGTTTTTGGATGCTCAACTGAGCTACCACGCAAAATGCCAGGAGGTGCTGCTCCAGCTCAAGAGCGAGTGGCCTGGCAGGTGAGCTGCCCCGGCCCATGTTTCTTTCCCAGGCGTTTGAATAGCTAACAAGCCGGTAGACAACCTCTTTCCCAGACTCCCAATGGCCGTCGTCCAGGCCGCCCCCGCTCCAACACCGCACACTCTTTCGCCGATCGCTACGAGCCGTTGCACGAGGAGGATCATAATGGTGCGGATGTCCGGCCGATTATCCGCTCCTCTCGGGCCACTTCGATTGAGCCGACGGGTAGAGAGGTCTATCCGCCTGATGCTTACTCGAGCCGGCCCGTACTGAGCAGGACCTCAACGTTTGAGGGACCTACGCAATTGCGCCAGGATTCCAATTCCAGCCCGTATCAGTGGCCGTCTCGGTCAGCCAGTGAGAACTACATTGGCCGCCGAAACAGCAGTCAAACCCGCCCTGCCGGTAGAGGATATGCTGATCCGTACATGGATCCATCTGAGGATGACAGTCCACGCAGCGGCACTAGCCCAGACCGATCTTACATGGGACGCAATGAATCGCCTGGGCCATCCTATGGCAGCGTGGTGACGAGAAGATCCAGCTCGAACACCCTGAACAGCGCATCATTGCACAAGAAGGCCCCCCCACCTCCGCCCCCTCGCGCTAAGAAGCCCGCCCCTCCACCACCCCCTATGAAGAGGGTGATTCCGATCGGAGGTGACGCGTAGGATGCATGACTTGAACTGTCATGGACGTTTCTGACGCATCTGGTAGCCGGGGTGGGAGGGCTCTTTGTGTGGTGTGGGTGGCTGGACACACCTACGTTGCTGCAATTCTCTTTGAGTCTGATTTATATCCTGCTGGCAGGTGGTATAAGATAGTGGGTGGTCTTAGCGGGAAAAGCAGTCTTCTCCTCCGTGGTGTATCTTTGTAAATGGTGATGCGACAGGGTGTGCGTACTGGGGTCTGAATTGTACTGTATAGGGAAGGAATTGCGTAGAACTGTTCAGTATTGCGTTGTGGGGCTAGTTTGATGGCTGTGGAATCACTCGTAATTGAATGATAATGCTTGATCATTGTCCTTAGCTGCTCTCACTGTACGTAGCCGGTACTGGTAAGATAATCATCATATCGGCCGAGGTTGGGGAGAGCTTCCCCGCTAGTCCTAACCCGGCCGCCCTGGGCAAGTCCGTCGCTGGCTGAGTCAGCGACTAGCAACGGTATCCCCCAAGCACACGTGACACGGCACGAAATCTTCTTCCAACGTCTCGCCGCCTACCCTCTCCTCGTTACAGGCACAGGCTGAGAGCACCGCCAGTTTCCCCGACCAGCACGGAAAGTCGCGAAAGCCCCGTCCCCTCCATCTCCATTTCATCCAGACTGGCCTTCCACGCGCCATTCTCACCCCCGGCCCCCTCTTTGGGGTCATTTTTACACTTTCTTCTTCGCGTTAGACGCCCCTTTCTCTCTACTCATTGATTCTCCTGTTTGTCGCCTACCGCCCTGTATCTCCCCCGGTCCGGCCTAAACATCACGAAACCTGTCGCCAAAAGTCCAGATACAGGCCGCTACCTGTCGCATCCATCCACAAAGAGGCATCCCTATCCATTCATTTTCGTAACTGAGCGCCCCCCATCGCTCCCCTCGCGCGATCCCTCATTTACTGTCGCCGCTCTCAATTCCCACGTGTTTTCCTAAGCGCTTCACTGTGCCCCGTCGCAACCCAGGCCTCCCCCGTGTCTCCTGCGTTGCTTATGAATAAAACAACCACGCGCTAGAGCATGGCCTCTCTCCAGTCAGCACCCAATATGGCGGCTGGAAACATGAGCTTGCCGCCGAACTTGACG